GTGGGCGTGGCACATCCAATAGGCGTGGAATATTTTATCAGCTATAACTCCGGAACTATAAGCCACATGAACTTGAAATTCGGTACGCAGACATAACTATTGTAGCTGCTACAGTAAAGTATATACAAAGGGGTTTGTAAAAGGACGCGTGGCACATCCCATAGGCGTGGAAATTTTTATCAGCTGTAATTTCACAACCATCAGTCACATGAAATTGAAATTAGGTATGCAGACATATCTGCGGTAGGTTCTTACAGTAGCCTATATATACATGAGTTTGTAAAAAGGGACGTGGCACATCCCATAGGCGTGGACCCTTTTATCAACTATAACTTGGGAATCATAAGTCCCAAGAACTTGAAATTTGGTGTGCAGGCATACCTACGGTAGGCGCTTTAACTAAGGCATATATAACTGAGTGGAACATCCCAATGGCGTGGAAAATTCGGAATCATATGTCACGTGAAATTGAAATTTGGTACGCAGACGTATCTTAAGTAGGTTCTTCAAGTAGGCTATATATAAGTGAGTTTTTAAAAGGGGGAGCGGCACGTCCCATGACCTGGAATGTTTTATCAGCTATAACTCCGGAGCTATAAATCGCTTGAACTTGAAATTTCGTACGCAGCCATTTTAATGGTAGGTACGTATATTAGGGTATATATAAATGAGTTTGGATAAGAGTGCATGGCACATCCAATAGGCATGGAATTTTTTAACAGCTATAACTTCGGAACTATAAGGTCCACGAACTTGAAATTTAGTATGCAAATATATCAATGGTTGCTTATATATAAATGGGTTTGTAAAAAGGGGCGTGGCTAGAATTTCAAAACCATAAGTCAAAGGAAATTGAAATTTGGTACGCAAACGTATCTATGGTAGGTGCTTATATTAGGGTATTAATTAGGGTCTTAATATATAATAACCAGGGAACGGATTTTTAGGACCTAAAAACCTATAAAAAAGGCAAAATAAAATAACGAAATAGGACGGAAAAGGCAAAATAAAATAGCGAAAAAGGCAGGAAAAGGCACTAGGTAGTGCAAAAAAGGCAAAAAAAGGCAAAACAAAATAGCGAAAAAGGCAAGAAAAGGCAAAAAAAAGGTATTGCAAAAAAAGCAAAATAAGGCACTAAAAAAAGACAGAAAATACGAAGAACAATCAAAAATTACATTTATTTTAGAAATGTTTATATTACAAGTAAAAAGAGAAAAACTATGAACTAATTTCATTATATGAAAAATTTGTACATTGAATCTTTGAGTATTTTATCATTTCGAGTTTTTAACTCATACAACTTTAATCTGTATAGTTGTAGTAACGTTGAACCACGAGATGCATTTTGAAGTTTTCTGGCAGCATTTTCATTCGATTTTCGCGAAGAAAAGCCTTGAATGTACTAAATGTGCGCTCGACGTAAGTTGATACAAGTGGCGCCCAATTTAAATATGGAACGTTTGAAACGTTCATATTATCAGGAATAAGGGCGTTTGCCTCGCCCTTAACAATTTTATCCACACCCTTATTGTCTCCAAGCCTAAGTTAGCTGAGAAAACGGCTTTGAATTTTTCCAACACCAATTTGGCAATAGGTCCCTGCGCTTCTATAAGCCGCTTCTCAATGTTATCCAAAATATTTAATACCTCACCAACTGGAGTTCCTACAATTACATAAAAAGTGTATGTGAATTATTAATTTTTTACTGAGAATTTGGTTTTTCCACAACCTGTTTTCTGTAGACGTTCGAAAACTTTTTCCTCTAAAAGAAAACCAAAATTGCATTTTATATATATCAAATTCCCCTGAACCGATTTTTTGCTCAACAATTGCTTCGAGAAACTGACACATGCTGCATCGTCCGTTATTTGGTCAATTATTCTTTTGATGCAATCATAGTTTTCGGCATAATATACGGCTGCAATTAGCCATGTGCCCCGTCGAGTTATCACCTGTATAAATTTACAAACAATTATAATTAAAATTAACAACAATAGCAATTTATCTTGACATACCGGCTGAGGAGGCAGAGGAAGATTGGGTTCCATTTCTTTGAAAACTGCCACCCTGAATGGGCTTTTCAAGAAAACTTTTTTTAAGTTTGAAATTAAGACGTCAACATCTGAGTACTTCGAGCGTAGAGATTCGCAGACCCGGTGTACGCCACGTGCGACGCAGGTGATATGAATCATATTAGGATAAAGCAGCTTCAATGATGACGCACTTTTCTTCATGTAGGGTGCTGCATCAGTCACAAATACCAACACTTTTTCACGTTGGAATCCTATTGGCCATAAAATGTGCATAGAATCGTTAAACAATGTTGCGATTGTTGATGAGTTCACCTTATCCAACACCTCCACCGTCAAGAGATAGCCGCGTCCGCTTTCACGCAACGGTCCAACAATAACATTGGTTACACTGCGGCCTGCCTTATCTGTAGTTTCATCGATGGACACAAAGATGGGGCTTTCTCCTATTTCTAAACGAATTTTCTGCAAAACGGACTCGTAACAATCCTTCACGTAATTTTTTCTAAGAGTTGATTCATCGGGAAGGGATTCCTGAACGTATTTTTCAAAGAATGAAAGAATGCTTTTTTAGTTTTTACACTGAATAACTTTTTGTTTCAATAACGGCTGGCAAACTCTATTGAAGTAAAACAGTTGTTAGTTGTGCACATCAGCAACTGTGTTGATAGATTTTAGCACGCAACAGAGTGACATGAAAACTACAAAATTTATTTTTGCTTAAGTATTCACTACTTACACACTGCGTTTTTCTAACATACTAATTTTCGAATATGGGCATGTGTATATTTCTTAATCTTTAAAAAAAATTGTAAATGCTATAAAGGTAGAAAGGGCAAAAAAAAGGCAAATATCTTAAAACAGGCAAAAAAAGGCAAATATCTTAAAAAAGGCAAAAAAAAGGCAAATATCTTAAAAAAGGCAAAAAAAGGCAACATCAAATGGGTATATATGGAATCAGGGAAAGCTAAATCGAGGACATTCTTGATCGAATATACTCTATCTCTTTAGTAGAAAAAAAGGCAATTTCCATAAAATCCGTTCCCTGATAATAACCATAAGTCAAATGAAATTGAAATTTGGTACGCAAACGTATCTATGGTAGGTGCTTATATTAGTCTCTTAATTAGGGTCTTAATATATAAATATCCCGTGTCACTGTGTTCGTTTACGCTAATCTCCGAAACCGCTTAACTGATTTCCATGAAATTTTGTGGGTGTGTATTGTTGGTTCCAACTTAAAAGATAGAATAGTTGTGAACCCGAGAAAAAATATTTTTTTTTCATCGAAATTTTTTCTATGCTTCTCGCATCGTGTTTATCTAATATACATATAAAAATCGAACTCTTCCTAAACGGCTCGACCGAACTTTATGAAATTTTTTGTGTTATATATGGTAGGTATGAGAATCGGATGTAAAGTATATTTCATACCGCTATGTGCAGGGGGCGTGGCACCTCCCATACAAACCGAATTTTTCATATTGCACATCTCTGGAAGTGTTCATGGTAGACTACTCGAATATGGCATGGAGATTTATGAAAACATTTGCATATTCATGGATAAAAATTCCGGTTATTAGAAATGTTACGTGGCACCTCCCATACAAACCAAATTTTTCATACTGCATATCAAGGAAAATGTTCATGGAAGAGGTCTCGAACTTGGTATGGAGATATATGAAAGCAATCGCATACTCATGCAGATCGAATTCATACTGCATATCTCTGAATGTTTTCATGGAAGAGTACTGGAACTTGGTATGTACAAGATATATAAAACGCGACTGGTTATGAAGAAAAGTTGGGGCTATTGGAAAAAGGGACGTGGCACCTCCCATGGTAAATTACTCGAAAAGGGTATAGAGATGTATGAAATCAATCCCATGCTCTTAGAGAAAATTAGAGTTATTTGAAAAAGGGACGTGGCGCATTTCAAACGCACTGAAACTATTACGTATCTTTGTATGCATGTACAGTTTTGCTAAGTTATTTAAGACGGCAAATGTGCCTTCTAACAACCACCAAACCGTAATATTAAAAGACAAATGCGTCACTAAAAATCATGAACGTGAACTCTTGGTGAAAATGTTGGACCAAAGTGTCTCAAAAAACGGTTAAAAATTTCGGTTTTAATTTTAAACTTTTTGGACTACATATATGACCAAACTACATAAATTCAGTTTCAAATTCAAACCTTATAAGTTTAATAAATAATATAAAAAAACTTTTTAATATACAACGCTTTTATAAATGGACTAACAAGTAGAAAATAATATTTCTCAGTCCCATAGAATTTGTTTTGATAACTTTTGGTTTTGAAATTTTAGCAAAAGTCATTATAAACAATCTATGAAATTGAAAATGAAAAACGTGGAGCGCATGCAGTACAAAGCATTCGATTTAATTGACAATAGTCAAACTGCATAACGTAGACCTAAAATTTCTACAGCGAAAGTAGAACTTTGAAATCGATTTTAAGCGGTCGTTATTCATATATCCACATACATACATATATATATTACTTTTCATATCAATTCAAGTGTATTACATGCGCCCCACGCTTTTCATTTTCAATTTCATAGATTGTTTATAATGACTTTTGCTAAAATTTCAAAATCAAAAGTTATCAAAACAAATTCTATGGGACTGAGAAATATTATTTTCTACTTTTTAGTCCATTTATAAAAGCGTTGTATATTAAAAAGTTTTTTTATATTATTTATTTTCTACTTTTTAGTCCTGTCTGAATAAAATTTTGCAATAGATATTAAAATAATTCAACGATATTAATAGAAAGGTGCACACACATGCATTTACATATGTGTGTACATACAAACGAGCACCAATTAATTTTATTTAAAGAAATGGCGTGTCGTCTATTTCCGCTGTAGCAAACGTAGTACATAGGGCGACATCTAGATGTCATCTACCTCGCCCTATTCACTACAGCTGTCGCCCTATGCACTATGCTTTTTTATAGGAACTTTTCAAAGCTTTGCTTTGGTGTCGGACACACAACATTGAAAGTTTCTGGATCCACAACATTGAAAGTTTCTGGACACACAACATTGCAAGTTGATAAAAGCGTAGTAAAAAAGAGAGGGCACATATGTATGTTCAGTTTAGAATTTAAACAGTTCGGTTTAAATTTTAAACCCAAACATTTTCATAATTAAGAATAAAAAATAAAAATAAAATTTCAGGCTCCGTCTGATGGGGTTTGAACCCGGACAGCCTTAGTAGCAACCAATTGTATCAAGCAGCTTTGCACACTCAGCTACAGCCACGCATTTTAACGTGTTTTCATATGTTGAGTTTGAATCAACACCACATTTCGGTGTGTGCAAACATTTTCTATTTCGGTTTAGATTTTAAACCAAATTTTCTATATATGAAACCTAGAAACTAGAATTAAAACATTTTGGTTTGATTTTTAAACCACGAACTTTTTGGACTAAAATTTGAACTACAATATATGTATTAAAAATTCCTTAAAACTATTGACTGGTTTAAAAAGTAGACTATAAAAGATAAAAAAAAACAGTAGTCCCAGCGCCCAAACCCAAAATGTTTGACCGTGTACAAAAAATTTATTTTGGGCAAAGTTCGCCGGGTCTGCTAGTTGGTTTATAAAAATGCAGTTTACACTTTAACAAAACCCGTATAAATCCAAGGTGTAATCTTTGCGCAACATAAACAAAATCAACAAACTTTCGTAAAGCTTTTTAATTAGATTTCCTAGAAATTCACATTTTGAGTATGCAGTTTTGTAGCCGGATCAATTCAAATAAAGCGCAAGTTTAAAATACATAGCTGCGACTTATCGTTGATTTTTGATATTTTTTTTTATGAAGGCGTTGCCCATTTTCTTCATTAAAAAATCGTCGAACATACTTAGATAATATGGAAGAAAATTACCGACATCGTCAAAAATATGCCATACAACAACTGTAAATCACAGCTACTTTAAAGTTGCACTTTATTAGACTAAAATTGAATGAGCTAAAAACTGCAAAGTATTAAGAGATAAAATTGGAATAAAAAGTTGAAAATTTTTACGAAAGTTTGTCGATTTTTTTTAATGTTGTTCAAAGATTGAACTTATTTTCATTTAGTGTTTGTTAAGGAATAAACTATATTTATATAAACAAATAATTCAAATTAAAATATAATAAAATAAATAGTCAAATCTAGTCAATATGTGAGTGTCGTAAAGTTATGATATTTAAGAGCATCTCTTTCTTAATTAACGATGACACTGTTTCTATATGAAGCTGATTTCAACATTTTGTTTTAATAAAATTTAGTATCGAAAATATTCTTTCAAAACTTGCCAAGGAATGTGATATAATGGTTCGTTCAAAACCTTTTTTCAAAACTTATAATGACAAAAACGAGAACGCGAAGACAAAAGAGAATACAAAAATTTCCCGCAGTGAATTTTCAGATTTTTAAAACGATATAGTAATTTAAATTTTTAAATTTAAATAAAGCATGAATACCCCATGGAAGAAGCGAGTAGATAAAAAATATATAACGGTAAAACTGGCACATACATAAATATATGAAAGAATGCACTCAGGCGAAGCCTCTAGCCATTGTGTGTCACAAATTTAAGTTATCGATGGAAATTTTTTTTTCATCGCCCCCCCCCAAAGCCAAATCCTGGCTACGCTACTGGCCCCTTTTATTTCCAAACTGCACCAGAAAAAAATCTCACGCGGAACCGAGTAGAAAACTGGCATCTAAAGTAGAGATCGCACGATTTGTACATTTGTACAGATTTGTAAATTTTGGAAGCTACAGAGTGATGTTGTTTGGAAATTATTTTATTGAGCTGAACTCAAAATTCGAAATCGTGTGATTCCTGCTTAACCGTGATTGGGCATATTTGGCATTACTTTTACTTTTTCTATTAAGTGAGACCATTTACTGGACGGAAGTCTTTGCAATTAAAATTTTCATCTGTAAATACATTTTCAACGTTAGACCACGATTAACCACAAATTGAGACGAAATACTTTGGTGGATGTCATGAAATATATACAATTTTATAATTTAAATTTTTCGTGGGTCCCTTAAAGCACATGAATATATGTGTAGTATATTTCAGTATTAAACTCAGCCCTGTAAGCTGTCATGGTTTTTTTAGATTTTCGAATTTTGCCGCAATGTTGAAAATTACAAGTATTAAATCGAAAATATATCCAATAGCTGCATTTTTAGGCTTAAAATTTTTGTAATAGAATTCTCTTTAGCATAGGGGGCTAAATTTTTTCATCCGTACACTTTTTCTAAAACACAACGAAATTTTTTTAAACTTTCTGCATGTTTATTCCTAGTAACCAACCCACTTGTGTGATTTATGACTATTTAGGCAAATAACTTTTTTTTGAGTCTCCTTTACATACAAATTCCTCTCAGATATAAAACCGATGGGACGACGAATACAACTTTCCAATGCACATATGTGATGTAATGTATTGCAACTATGGGTTTTTATATTTTCAACGAAATTTCAGAAACAAGGACCTAGGTAATGTATCGCAACTATGGGTTTTTCTAACCAAGCTTAACTATTTCAGAGTGATAGATATAATTTCCGATTGCTCAGGCTTAAGTGGGTTTGAACAGTAGAGGCTAGTTTTCCAAGGTGGAGCGACCCGCATAGTTTAAGTCGTGCTATACTTACGGTCTATAGCGGAGCAACTTTGCCTTCCCCGACTAACAAGTGGCTGGTTGTTTT